AAAGCTGTGATCAATTTCTCTTGAACTTTCATGTCTTGTAAGTTGGACAGTCCTGTTCAAACTCAAATGGCAGTGGCAGTTTTCAACAGTCCTCTTAGAGGGGAATATCCTAGGGACAATATGATGGAAGGGAAACAACCTACTAGGAGGAGACGGGTTTTCGTTCAAACTGAGACTGGTTGTGTCTTGGGCATGGAGTTAGATCGCAGTGACAATGCTCATACAGTTAAGAGAAGGTTGCAGGTTGCCCTCAATTTTCCCACAGAGCAAAGCTCGCTGACTTTCGGGGATATGGAGTTGAAGAACGATCTTAGTTCTGTTAGAAATGATTCTCCACTTCTCCTGACACGAAGCTCTTTCCATAGAAGCTCCTCAACTCCTTGTCTTTCACCTACGGGAAAGGATCTTCAGCAGAGAGATAGAAGTGGTCCTATTGAAATACTGGGACATTCCGATAGTTTTAATGTTTTGAAAGTTGTGGTTAAGGACATTATTAAGGCAATTAAGATGGGTGTTGATCCACTTCCTGTTCATAGTGGTCTGGGAGGTGCCTACTACTTTAGGAATCCTAGAGGTGAGAGTGTCGCAATTGTGAAGCCAACAGATGAAGAACCTTTTGCACCAAACAATCCGAAAGGCTTTGTTGGGAAAGCCCTTGGACAACCAGGTTTAAAACGGTCGGTTCGGGTAGGTGAGACAGGTTTCAGAGAAGTTGTGGCTTACCTGTTGGACTATGATCATTTTGCGAATGTGCCACCGACAGCACTGGTAAAGATTACTCACTCAGTCTTCAATGTCAATGATGGCATGAATGGAAATAAGCTTCTCAAGAAGAATCTGGTTAGCAAGATTGCATCTTTCCAACAGTTTATTTCACATGATTTTGATGCTAGTGATCATGGAACCTCAAGCTTTCCCGTTTCTGCTGTGCATCGCATAGGGATTCTTGACATACGAATATTCAACACAGACAGACATGCAGGAAACCTTTTAGTACGGAAGCTTGATGGAATTGGTAGGTTTGGTCAGGTAGAACTCATTCCTATTGATCACGGCCTTTGCTTGCCGGAAACTTTGGAGGATCCATACTTTGAGTGGATTCATTGGCCTCAGGCTTCAAAGCCTTTCTCTGAGGATGAACTTGAGTATATAGAGAAGCTTGATCCTATTAAAGATTGTGAGATGCTGAGAACAGAACTTCCCATGATACGGGAAGCTTGCCTACGTGTTCTTGTACTCTGCACAATTTTCCTCAAGGAAGCTGCGGCATTTGGTCTCTGTCTTGCTGAGATTGGTGAGATGATGAGTAGAGAATTTCGGGCTGGAGAGGAGGAACCTAGTGAGGTAGAGGTTGTTTGTCTCGAGGCAAGAAGGCTGATAGTAGAGAGGGAGCTGTCATCTCCCAAGTCCGATGCAGGTGATGCAGAGTTCCAGTTTGATATCGACTCTGAGGAACCAGAAACTGACTTCACCCCTAATAAGGCTAATGATGATTTTATGACCAGAACATCAATCCAATTTGGAAATGGATTTGTAAGTAACCATCGTTTTCCACTTTCAAAGCTGGAGGAATGCTTTGAGGAAGATGATGAAAGTGAAGAAGTTGAGCAGGATGGTTATTCTCCTTTCATAGCTCTTGAAAGGATCACATCTGTTTCAAAAATTTCAATGTCACTCAAAGATACATGCTTAGGCGACAAGAGCCAGAAATATTCCAAATTTTCTGGAACAAAACAAGAAAACGGCTATATTACTAGCTCATCTGGGCATAGGAGTGCAAATGAGCAACTTCCTGCAAGTGTGAGCTTTGTGAAGCTAGCTGACATGGATGAAGAGGAATGGACCTTCTTCCTGGAGAAGTTCCAGGAGTTGCTCCACCCAGCATTCAGCAAACGAAGATCCGTTACCATGGGTCAGAAGCAGATACAGAGGCTTGGTACATCGTGCCAGTTTTGAGATTGAGTTGGTAGTATATCGTTCCACGTTAAGTTGACCAAAGAAGTAATAAGGCATTGTAGGTTTGTTGGGATTTGAGATGAGAGTATTATTAGGATAGTTTGAGTACCCTTGGAATATTGTAGGATGAATCCCCCTCCCTGTAAATATTCTTTGGCTTCAGCGAAGTGGAGAGCTGAGGTTAGTAGAATTTGTTGTATTTCTTCCTTAAGCTTTTAGCTTTTATTCGTTCTTCCCCCCCCCCCCCCTTTACTTTTCACATGAACTTTGTTAGATGAATAATTTGTATATTGAAAGCTAAAAAAGAAAAAAAGAAAGAATATTTATAAGAGAATATTTATGTAAATTTGGGATATTTAAGAATATTTATGTAAATTTGGGATATTTAATCTTGGTGTTATGAAATCTTGCTCTTGTTTGTTTATGAAGTAAAAGCAGTATATCGGCCTTGCCTTCATGGAAAACATAAGTAGTTCAGTGTAGTTGGTGGGGAAAAAATTCAGGCGAGTGGGGGTTTTACATGCAGGTCAACATCACCAAATAAGTGACGATCATCATGCCTACAAACCAGAGTTTATCTGATATACTGACATTCAGGTTTTGATGAAGTAATCTTAGCTACCTACCAGGTACGCCTTTACAACTAAGATTATAATGCAGCAGCAGCTTAATTTGACCATAAAGTTATCCATCAAGTTACCATATATATATATATATATATATATATAATGATAAAGGGTATATTAAAACCCCGCAGTGGAGGGTTTATCTGGTTTTGCGATTTAACATTGATCGTAGGTGAAGATAAAATGATGAATCTGGTGCTGAGGGGTAGGAAAAAAGTGGGGCCTTTGTCGTCCTTGAACCAAATGATGGTTACAGACAATTGATGAAAGATCAAGTTTAGGGACATGTGTAAAGGAGGAAAAAGGGGGGGGGGGGTTTCCCCAATTATCCCTGTTCGAGTTGGTTCCATATCACTTTTCTCACCATCTTTTTGAATTTCTGTTTCCCCCACCAGGCAAACCAACTCAAATCATTCTTTAAAATCTTATTTGTCCCAATGGGACATGTATCCCATTTGATAGATCTTCCGGTTCAAGTCTCTTATCAAAATGTGTTTTGAGTTGGGGTGTCAGTTTTAAAACAAAACAATATTTATGAACTGGGGTTTCAATAGGTGAAGTAATTCAATCATGAAGATGAATCGAAGGACCAAATTGAGTCTAAATGGTTGTTTAAGATGGCATGAGTAAGAATGGAGGAGGAAGATGGGGGGGGGGGGTTAATGATGAGTTAAAATCAAGAAGTTGACGCACTAACAAATTTTTTGGAGATGAAGAGAAGAAAGCAACATCATATCAGCATGCAATGCAACTCCCACTTACATAAGTTTCTTCATCCCATCGTTTTTTCAAACATTCCACAAATTCCAAATTCTATTCTACCTACTCTTCTTTTCTTACTCTTATTACGGATACTACTTTAGATATTTGTAAATATTTATTTCATTTTTATCTATTTAAATTCAGTGTTAAAAATTATTATTCGTTATAAATTCGAAGAGCACGTAAATAATTTATCAAAAAAAAAAAAGGACGTGAATAGACATCTCTGAATATCAATTATCTGAATTTTATGTTATGTATAAAATGAATTTTTCGAACTCATATATGAATTCAATTTTGAATTACAAAATAAAAAATGAGTTTTTTAGGAGATCCAAACCTAGATCATTTCAAATTTTAGTGATTTCGTGTATTTGTCTTATGATTTAAAATTTATAACTTAATTTATTTTGTGAATTTATGAATTTAACCTAATAATGTTTAATTAGAATCTTGATAAAAATAATAAAATAGTTTTCAGATAAATAAAAGAAATTATATTTTTACATAAATTTATTGATTGAAAGTAGAATAATTTTAAAATTACTGATCTACTGTCATTCCCATATAACGTATATGATTTGATGTTGTAAAGCACAAGGTTCTTAATCTTGAGGTCGTGGGATCGAGTCCCACGGAGGACATTTCATAATTCGAAGATCTTCTACGGAAGCTGCTCTCAACCTGGTGTTGAGGACAGCCTACTATCTTACGTCTCCTTTACCCCATTACATATGAGAACAAGGGACAACCAAATTTGATGTTGTAAAGAGCTTCGAACGCAAGACTAGCACCGTGAACAATTAACTCATTGATCCATCTTGGCAATTGTGGCCCAAACAAATGTCAATAATGATATATATGCTCCATGTATATATGCTTTTAGTGACGAGGGTAAGTGATTTTTCTTTTGAATTTTAAAATTTTGATTAGTGCCTACGTAGTATAAATATTATTAAAAAAAAATCATGCCATAGCATAATATTAATAAAAACAAGCCATACCGTCATAACATTTATTTAATAGTCGAGTGATTCGAAAGTTTAGTAATTAAATTGAAAAAAATTAAATTTTAATGACCAAAATAAAAGTAAAAATAAAGTTGAGTGATAAAATTTATAAATTACTCGTATCATCTAATCACCAAGACAATGAAAGTGCATCATTTCTTAAGAATAGTCTACATGTGAATTAAGTGAGTTAAACTGCATCATTTTGTATTGGTGTTTTTGCTGTTATGGTGTGGGTTTGTATTTAGAGTAAATGATTGTTGATGCCTTGAACTTCTTTGTCCACTGCTGTCTGATTTCAATATTGATTGCGAAGCATTGAATGAGTTCAACTATAGTCGGTTATGTAGATCGGGAGATGCGTTGGATGTGACTGCTACGAATGTGGTTTTTGCTTGACTATGGTAAGGCTTAGTTGTTTGTTTTTCGTTTTTGAGTTTGTTGTATTGTATTAGGCAATGTGACTATGTCGTGTGTTTATGGTGTTTTGGGACATAATTTGGTGTTTGTTATTATCTTTTTTCTTCTTTAATGCATCGATAGGCATATTTAACTTTTGGTCAATATCATTTCTTAAATAAAATGAAAATTTGAAGTAATATATAAGATGCAGAGTGCAGGATCTTTATATTCCATGGAGGAAATCTCAATCCCCCATTAGTCTACCAGGCATTATTATAACAATCCAAGGCTTCTATTTCTCTTTATATACAAAACAAATGCTTATACACCAAGAGTTTAGCTTGTGTTTCAGTAAACAGCAAAAAGAAACATATATATATATATGTATAAAACGAGAACCAATTAGGGTTAGTAGGGAAATCATACAAGTTAAATGTGCCTCCAAGGTCTTTCAGCAAGGGCTACACATTCATTATATCTGAAACAATCGACCAGATGATCGATCGTCAATCCGGCTGCTTGCATGAACGAATACACGATCACCGGCCCCACAAGCCTGAATCCATGCTTCAGCAAGTCCTTGCTTATGGCTTCGGCTTTCGGAGTTCTTAGGGGAACATTTCTGGGGTACTTGTATCTGTTGATGGTTGGCTTGTAACTCACGTAACCCCACATGAAACTGCTGAATGATCCATATTCCCTCACAATCTGTATATATTTTCATGCTTAAATTCATCAACTTTTTTACGGAGAAAACGATGCAGTTTGACGGTAAGGAAGGAGTCGCGGATGCCAGAAAACCGGGATAAATTCAATAAGGAAGGACTTACCTTGAGTATGCATTTGGCATTGTCGATTATGCACCTTACTCTATTCTCTGCTAACATGATTGCTTTGTTGGATGATATCTCGTTGATTTCTTTATCCCCCATTTTAGCAACAATTTCAGGATCAAAACCCAAGAAGGCTTCTCTGTATGATTAACAAAAAATTCCCAGAATCAGATTATATATATATACACACATATATATATATATATATATATATATATATATATATATATATATGTATGTATGTATTTGTAGATTGAAGAACATGCTGCACCTGTAAAGATCCCTTCTTTTTAAAATCTCTGTCCAATTATAATCCATCAGCATACCAGACAAAGCAAGCAGTTCGAACAATTGGCTGTTTGATTGATTAATTCGGATGAAACAACATTAGTAGAATAGAATTAGATGTCCGAATTTAAGGAATTAGAATCAAGGATGGACTGAGGGTTGAGAGAGGTCATCTGTCTTAAAATTTTTAATATCATATATATATATATATATATATATATATATATATATATATATATATATATATATATATATATAATATGTTTTCGTCCTTAAAATTATATAAATTTATCTTATAACATAAAATATTAAGTTCCCTCCTTAAAAACTTACTTGTCATCGTAGATAGGAACTCCCCATTGCCCATCGTGAAATGATATGTAAACCTTATCTGTATGAAAAAGCATTTGTTAATAATTTATGTTTTTTTGTTCATATTTACACAATAAATAAGAATAAAAGAAGATGGCAAACGACAGGCCATCCAACACATTAATTATGAAACGTAAATAGAATATAAATGGTTGGTTCGTTGTCTAAAGGAAGACAATGATTCAAGATCTGCCATCAAACTTTCATAATCAATCACCATTGTTAGAATATTATTTCATTCTCTTAACCCGAAAAATGATATATAGTTACAAATATTAAGATTCAAACTCCACGAGTTGAGTAATGTAAACCCGAGTTCGAGATAACATACCACTGTTCTTTGTGACCCAATGGCACCTTCTCAATTCACCGTTACCAGAATCCTGATACTGTTTTTGTTGTTGCTGCTGCTGATGATGAACACTTTTGACAACCATGGGGAACTCTCTTCTCTCACGATGAGGAGAAATCAAGCTAAGTGCCAATGAAATCTTTTGTTCCAAGGGAGTGCTGGACTGATCTGTGAGAGACGAATCGTTCGAGTTCTGCGACAAAGATAATGATAACGACGACAATGATAGAGATGAAGAACTTCTTTGTAACCCAATCGGGTAGATTTTCTTCAGATGTTTGGATAAACCACTTTGAGTCGATGATTTCTCCTTCTCTTTGCAACATCTGTTCTCTAAAACATGTCTCCTCACATTTGTTTTGGACATGTTTGAGAAAATCATGGAATTCTATGTTGTTTCACTTTGATGTCGGTAGATGGATAGTTTGGGGTTTTAAGAGTTTGATAAAGCATTAGGGTTTTATATATTGTGTTGAGAGGGAATGTAATGGCTGCCTTCCATACCTAAGTTGGTGAAATGTAAATTTCATATGCATTAAGTTTTCTTTGCTTCTTTGTTTGTAAGCAAAACAAATGACCACATATATTTTTATTTATTTTATAATAATGATCTAGAAACGGAATCCATCAAACAATCTCATTGATTAAAGGGTTATTGTTTTTTTTTATAAATTTTAAATTCGAACAACTGTATTTTCAGAGTATATGTGAGTTGAGAATAACTAAGAAAAAATTCGAATAAATATTTCATTATAATTACCTTAAACTATTAAAAAAGATAAATTATAAATATTAAAATGTAAATTTAAAATACAAAATACAAAATACAAAATACAAAATATTAAATATTGAATATATTTTATGTTTTGGTAATAAAACTGTTTATGAATAATGTTGAAAGTTGTTGATTACTTGATTAGACCTCTAAGCTAAACAGATTATTAAGTTAATGATATTGCATGCCTAATTCTTGTCCCTATGGAAGTCAAACAGCTGTTTTAAATGTCCGTATGTGTCTGGTAACCCCTACTCTTGTGGTCCAAAATTTTAGTATTTGGATTTTTCATTGATTTGTTAGATTGCTCGTTACTATTGCGGAATATAATGACGAATGATGTTTTAATATTTATATGTTCTTATATTATTCCTTCATTTGTTTTTGAGAGATTAACTACTAAAAATAATTCAGTTTTTTTCGTACAAATGATATCATATTCTATATGACGAATAATTGTTTTCATATAAAATATTGAAAGTGGAAGTGGTATTAGGTGAGATGACAATAACATGGTGATCTGAAAACAACGGGTGAATTTCGAATGAATTAATTAGGGTTGCAGTGTTTTTTTCGCAGTAGCGGATGAATTCTTAACATGCACTCCTTCAGGGGTTTTGAGGCAAACCTCTGGTCTGTATAGACAAAGATCTCTCATCCATATGTCATTCTCCTTTATACTATGCCCACCAAAATTCTAAAGTTCTATTGATTTAATATGTCAATTATAACACGAACCAATCAATATCAAAAATTAAAGATTATTTCTTAAGATCTCGGGTTTAAGCATCATTTATGTCAAAATGTCTGAGCGTTCAATATCAAATGATTGAATCTATTTGAACATATACTATCTTATATTTAATTCATATTAAAAATATACATCTCAACTAAAAAACAAGTTTCATGGAATATGTTTCAGTTACAATATTCAGTTAGAGAAATATATTACCATATCATTCTTCTAGTTTTCTCTTCGCCTTGAACTTCAGAAGCTGGCAGAGCCCCAAGAACTGTCGCATAGTATCGAACATTGAGGGAAGAATATGTTTGGTGAGAATATCAGCAACCTACTCAATAGCTGGAACATAATTGACAACAATTTGACCTGCCAAGACTTTCTCTCCCACAAAGTGTTAGTCAATCTCCACATGCTTAATCTTAGCATGGTGAGTGGGATTAACTGCCATCGAGACAGTGGAGGCGTTATCACATCATACAACAGAAACTCCAGGAAGTTGAACCCTAATTTCTTTCAACAAGTGTTTAACCCAAGTAAGTTCTGACACAACATTGACATGGTTGTGATACTTGGCCTCTGAAGTGGATCTGCACACAACTTGTTTCTTTGAACTCCAAGCTACCAGATTCAAGCCCACAGATATGCAATATCCCGTCGTAGAGCTACGATTTTCCACAGAAGATGCCCAATCAACATTAGTATAACACACCAAGTCAAAGACTCCAATATTTCTCAGAACTAATCCATGAGACAAGAGTACCGCTGAGACACCTTAGAACGCTCTTAATTGTCTTCCAGTGAACATAATGAGGTTGATTCATATACTGAATAGCCTTGTTAACAGCGTATGCAATATCTAGCCTTGTAAGACAAACATATTGAAGTCCTCCAATTATGCTTCGATAAAGATAAACATCAACCATTTCCTGTCCATCATCAGCTCGAAGTTTTGGAGAAACAGTCATGGGCGTAGGAGTAGAAGTTGCTTGTCCTACACCAGCTTTTAGAAGATCAACATTGTACTTCTTATGACATAAGTGTAAACCAGATGTACTCTGATGAACTTCCCTGCCAAGAAAGAGACCATGCTCCTCCAAATCTTTGAGAGAGAGCTCAACGCTAATCTAATGCACCACCTCATCTACAACTGTTGATATGTTTCCAGTGATTATGATATTGTCAACATTAACCATTAGCAAAACACTACTATCATTGTAGTGTCTAATTAACGACAAAGAATATGCTTTGGCTGTCACAAATTTCATTTAATTAACCAAAAAGCTTTGAAATTCTTAAACCAGACTCTTGATGTCTGACGTAGCCCATAAAGAGCTTTCTTAAGCTTGCAGACTAACTTCTCTCCCATAAGACTTGAGCATTCAAACCCATGTGGTTGTCTCATATAGACTTCTTCACTAAGATCCCTACAATCTGACGAATGCACCAGTTTTTAAGCACAACAACAACAAACACAATTCGAATTGTTACAGCACGACCAATCGGACAAAAGGTCTCATAGAAGTCACTACCAACTTGCTGAGAGAAACCATTAGAAACTAGGCGAGCCTCAAGTCTTTTAACAGTACCATCAGGCTTACGTTTAACCTTGAAAAGCCACTTGCACTCCACAAGTCTTCGATTAGATGGAAAGGGATGTAATTCCCAGGTTTGATTCATTTGAAGAGTTTAATACTCTTCATGCAAAGCTCGACTCCAACCAGGGTACTTTAAAGCTTTGAAAACATCAACAAGTTCATCATAGTTCTCGACTTCGGCGATAAACCCCTTTGGCTTAAACACCCCAACTAGACTTCTTGTAACAATTGGATGAGCAGTATGAGCACCAGGCGGAGAGGGGGAATGAGTGACATGAGTGGAAGAGGGTGGAGAGGATGATGTAGTATGTAATGATGGAGATGGAGGAATAGAGTGAGATGGTAATAGTGAAGGTGAATGTAATGAAGATGTGAGAAGTGGTGATACAATGGATTGAGAAAGAGAGTGAGGAGAGTGTAATGGTGAAGCTGATGGTAGTGGAGATGAAGTGGATGACTGTTGTAAAGGTGAACTGACACGAGATGGATGATTGACCTAATTTAAAGAATTGACAATATTTAAAGGACAGACGCGAATTGAGGGTTTTTTACCCCACTGACACCGTTTATTTTTATTTTTACTTTTCTAACACCGTTCGACCAATATTTCCAAAACTAGCACCCTTTCTGCTGAGTTGGCAAAGGCGCGTCCCGGGGCGCGCTTACCCGTGTTTTCGCTGAGTTGGATGCCACGTGTGAAAGGCGCGTCCCGGGGACGCGCCTTTGCCATATCAGCAGACACGTGTGGAAGGCGCATCCCCGGGGACGCGCCTTCCATTAAATGTCATTAATGCCCCCATCCGTTTTTCCTAACTACCCCTCCTCCCCTATATAAACCCCCTCAAACCTCACTCATTCTTCACACCAAAATCATATTCTCCTCTCTATATAACTCAAATTCTCCAACTATTTGAGTTTTAAATTTGTTATTAGTGGTAAGAAATTTATTTTTATGTTAGTATTTTTTTAAATAGTTATTATTTTTTTATATTAATATTTTATGTAAATATTATTTTATTAAAATAATATTTATATAATTATATTATTAGAATATTAATTTTTTTGCTAATTATATTGTTTGTCTACAGTTATAATGGAAAACGAAATGCTGTTGCGATTGGATAATGATCATATCTCCAGACATTTTAGCGATATGGTAATATTTTTATAATTAATGTTAATATTTAAATTTATTTTATTTTAAAGTTATTATGAATTTATTATTAATTTTTACTTTTTATAATATATTATTATTTAGGATGCTGATCGTATTTTAGAAACTTTTATTAAAAATCCACGTATATACCGACACCGGAACGTATTTTGCCATATTTGGCTTCTGCTGGGTTCGGGTATATTGCAACAATTATAGGCGGTTGCAAACTCGAACCTGTCCTAATTTCTGCACTGATTGAGAGGTGGAGGCCAGACACACACTTTTCACCTTCCATGTGGAGAGGCAACAATTACGTTGGAGGATGTCTCTATGCATCTGGGCTTCCCGTCGACGGAAATAGATGTGTGGTATGGCGGATGGTGATTGGCAATCAATGTGCATTGATTATCTTGGAGCTGCTCCGCCAGAGTTTAATGGAGGTAGAATAGCTTTATCTTGGTTGAAAGCTAATTTTGAGGTTTTAATGAAAATGCTTCAGAGGATCAAGCAAAGGCATGTGCTCGGGCATATATTCTACGAATAATTGGAGGAATATTGATGCCGACAAATCTCGCAACCAGGTGCATTGTATGTGGTTGCGGCATCTGATCGATTTTGATGAAGCTGGAAGATATAGTTGGGTGCTGCAGTTTTGGCATTTCTCTTTAGAGAAATGTGTCGGGCGACGAATTATAAGAAAAACTGCTATCGGTGGATGTCTTCTGCTTCTACAATCATGGGCGTGGTTCCGCATGCCTTTCTTATGCCCGATCGTGAATGAACCATACGTATTCCCCTTATTGTTGAGGTAATTTTCGAACTAAATTTTGATTTAAATTTTTCAATTAAATAGGTGATATTTAGTTTATATTATATTTCATAGGTGGTCGATGAAAAGAAAGGACCATAAAAGTATACCTACTGGGTTAGAGGAAATTCGTTTACTTATTGATACGAAAGCTGGGTCTGAGGTATGTTTTTAATTTGTTTAATTATTAATATTTTAATTTAAAATGTTAGATATAATTAGAATATTTATTTATTTGAATTGTATATTTATATTTCAGTTTCAGTGGATACCTTATGCGAGCGATGAAGTGAAAGCTTGCACCCACCCCACCTTAGAGGGTCATTAGAGGTATGGATATCG